CTTTACTCTGTATCTGACCCTGTGCTGTCCCTGTCCCTGTCCTGGGAGTGTTTGATGGGGGGGGGAAACGGTGTAGAGGGAGCTTTACTCTGTATCTGACCCTGTGCTGTCCCTGTCCTGGGAATGTTTGATGGGGTGGAACAATGTAGATGTATCTAACCCCCGTCCCTGGGAGTGTTTGATGGGGGGAACAGTGTGGAGGGAGCTTTACTCTGTATCTAACCCCGTGCTATCCCTGTCCTGGGAGTGTTTGATGGGGGGGACAGTGTAGAGGGAGCTTTACTGTAAATCTAACCCCGTGCTATCCCTGTCCTGGGAGTGTTTGATGGGGGGAGGACTGAAAGCTATCGCCATATTGCTGTAGGGGTTATGAGGACCAATGTGGATCTGGGGGTGGGGGTGTCGGTGTCGGTGAGCTGTGAGCTGCCTCATTATACTGACTGCTTCTTCACTTCCTATCCCCCTCAGGCAGAGTCGAAATGCACTAAGCTGGAAGAGAGGTTGAAGGAGCTGAACGGTAAGTACAGGGCCTGGGGTTTCTGGTATCTGTGGGGAGCCACTGGCCCGTGACACTGAGCACTCAATAGTACCTGCCTCAGGGTGAGGAGGAAGATGGATGTAGCTCAAACAGCCTGCCTGTTCCTGCTGCCCCTCCCAGGTTGTCCTGTCCCTGGTGCCCCACCCCCACCCCCCACCCCCCCAGGTCGACTTGTCCCTGCTGCCCCACGCCCCAGGTCAGCCTGTTCCCTGCTGCCCCTCGCCCCACCCCCCCAGGTCGGCCTGTTCCTGCTGGGCCTTCCCACTGCTGGCGTGCCTGTCCCTGCTGCCCCTCCCCTCGCCTCCCCCACCAGTGCTGCCTGTCCCTGCTGCCTCTTCCCTGCCCCGGTTCTATCTGTTTGCATCTGCATCTCTGTCTCCATTCTTTTGGTCCTTCTGTCCACCACTATCGTTACCCTCCTCCCTGGGTCCCTTGGGCACCCCCTCCCCTGGCTCTTGTTGTGAATGACCTTATTTCTCTCTCTCTCTCTCTCTCTCTCTCTCCCCCTCTCTCTCTCTCTCTCTCTCTCTCTCTCTCTCTCTCTCTCTCTCTCTCTCCCTCCACCCTCCCCTTCCCCCAACACCACCTCCCTTTTCCGGCAGAGATGGAGCTGAAGTGGGAGACTGAGCACGAGGAGAAACGATTGCTGAAGGAGCAACTCCAGGCACTGGAGGTGAGCCCGGGGCTTGGTGGGGGGCATTGGGGGAGGTGGGGAATTGGCTGGGGAGGGCCCTGCATTCCTGTAGCACCCTGCCGAGAGTTTCGCCAGACCACCGAGCTCTGGCATCCTGCGCCAATGCAGAAATCCTCGCGCTGCAGGCTCCCACGTGGGGCTGCTTTGGAGATAAACTGGATCCTGTGTTTACACCAAGCTCAGGCGAGGGGCAAATGTTAACAAGGCGGTGTTGTCGCTGTGCTGGTGATCCAGAGGCCCCAGGCTAACTTTCAAGTCTCCGCTGTGGCTCTGGACGATATCTAAATCCAGCCCTGGGCCATAGTGGTGACCTTGTAAGCACCCGCCCGGGTATTTATAGGGAAGGGAACCCGCTGTCCTTACCCACTCTGGGCCTACACGTCACTGCTGCAGGGTCAGTGCTGAGGGAGCGCTCTGTGTCCCCTCGGCCAGTGGAAACACTTTCTTGCTATTGACTGTGTCAGTTCGCTGGGATAACTCACATTTCAATCGCCTCGCCTCCTTGAACGTTCTAATCCCCAGGCTGACTGCTGGGGTTTCAGTGTAGCGGCTCCAGATTGTATAACCCTCGGTTGGAGGCGGGGGAGTGTTAGGCTGTTGTCTGTACTCCAGGCTCCAAAATTGACTGGTTTTCACCTTGTTTATTCCTCTCTGACAGACCTCAAAGCAGCTGGAGCTGAACAAACTGCAGGACGATATCAGTAAGGTAGAGAGTACCAGTGTGACCAGACACGATTCTCTCCAATCCCTGTTAAAAAGCAGGGCCTTAGCACAGCTCTGTCACAGATGTGATGCTTTTCACTTGTTTTTCTCTCTCCCTTATTCCCCACACCCCCACTCACCCCTCAGGTTTACTTTCTCCATCCCCCGCCCCGGTCACTTTCGCTGTTTCTCTGCTCGCGTTCACTCCTCTCATGGTTCACTCTCTCTTCTTATGTTCTCGCTGTCTCTCTCGTGTGCTTTCTCTCCCTCTTGCTCTCTCCCACTCTCTTCCTCTTTCCCCCCCCCCCCCTCTCTCTCTCTCCCTCTCTCTCTCTGTCCCCTCCGCCTACTGTCCCCAGCGGGTGCATTCTGTCTCTGTCCCATTGCCTGCTTTCTGTCTTCTCCCACTCCCCACCCCCTTGTCGTTCCCCCCCACCCCTCTCGTCGTCCCCCCTCTACTGTCCCCATCGTGTGCATTCTTGTCTCTCTGTCTCTTCTTCCCATTGCATGCATTCTGTTCTCTCTCTCTCTCTCTCTCCCCCACCCCCTCCCCATCCCCCTCACATGCATTGCTCTCTCTTTCCCGTGTATGTGTTCACTCTGTCTCTTGCCCCCTTCCCCCACTGCCGTCTCCACCTACTCAGTGTGTGTGACACTGTCTCCCTATCCCCACAGGTCTCCGAGAAACTGAAGAAGAAACATGAGAGGTGAGTCTGGCACATCCCCCTGCCCCATCATTAGAAGGAGAGCTTTACTCACAGTTTCAAAATGTGGAGGCAGCTTTTACTCTGTACCTAACCCCGTGCTGTCCCAGTGTAGAGGCAGCTTTACTCTATATCTAACCCCGTGCTGTCCCTGTTCTGGGAGTGTTTGATGGGGGGGGGACAGTGTAGAGGCAGCTTTACTCTGTATCTGACCCCGTGCTGTCCCTGTCCTGGGAGTGTCTGATGGGGGACAGTGTAGAGGCAGCTTTACTCTGTATCTAACCCCGTGCTGTCCCTGTCCTGGGAGGGTTTGATGGGTGATGAGTTGGTGGGGGTGGGAATGTAGGGGGGTGGGTGTTGGATGATTTGAGGGGATTAGCAGTTAGGTTGGGAAGACAGGTTTGAGTAACAGACAGTGAGACCCCTGTGAGTGGGGCCTCCTCTGGGAGTGTACATGTCACCATCGCTCTCCATGACACTGCTGTTCGATTTCACTAACTTCGGCAACTGGCTGACAGGTTTGTTCGTTCTTCCCTGCCCCCCTCGCCCAATGCCCCTCTCCTCTCCCTCCCCCTGCTTCTCCCCTCGTCCCCCTCGCTCTTCCTTGCCCCCTCGCCCCTCTCTATCTCCCCTTCCACGGCCCCTCTCCCTCCATGCCCCTTCTCCCTCCCCTCACTCCTTTTCCCCCCTCTCCCACACCACCCCTCTCCCAAACCCCTCAACGTCTCCCTCTCACTCTCCCCAAATGCCTCTTCCCCCTCCTCCTTTCTCCCTTCCCCCACCATCTCCTGCTCCCTCTCGCCCACCCCCCCTGCCCCACCCTAGCTTTCTGCATCTGCAGTCTGAGAAGGAGGCTTTATACAATGACAGCAGGTAGGCACAGTGACACAGATACCCTCCCTAGCAGCGCTGAGAGAGTGACAGACAACCCCCTGGCAGGGCAAGGAGAGCGCCACACTGTCGGAGGGTCAGCGCCAAAGGAGCTTCACACTGTCGAAAGGTCAGCGCTGAGGGAGTGGGCACTGTAGGTGGGTGAGTGCTGCACTGTCGGCGCCAGGGGAGCGCCGCGCTGTCGGAGGGTCAGCGCTGAGGGAGTGGGCGCTGTAGGTGGGTGAGTGCTGCACTGTCAGCGCCAGGGGAGCGCCGCGCTGTC